TATTTTCAGACTGCAATCTCGCCAGATGCCCGTTGATGCGAACAGAATTTTTTGCATCTATTTGGCCGTAGAAACTTCACGTTGTGAAGACAGCTGCACACGTAGTGGATGGTAAGAATTTTTGCATCCTTTTTCTTTGCTCATATGAATAAATCAATCATTTGCGTAATGCATAATTTCTTCACTCTTAGGTTATTGCCATCAGGTTATTGCTATACAGAGAAAATACTTAAGTCTAATTAAATGCCCAAATTTTAAATTTAAGAATGCGTCAAGTTTTAAATTGTTATCATGATATTTGAAATCAAGTATATTGCGAGTATATAAATAAGTCGTGAAGGTTAGTTTTAATTTTCGCTTCATTGGTTCTGGCGCTGGATCGCATTCCGGCAGTTTGGCAGGGTTTGTCTTGCGTTCAGATTTGCTGTGCTCATCGCTCTCGCTTCGTTCTCGTCGAATCCATATCGACTGTCGAAGGAGATGCTTTTGAGCGTCTTCTTGAAATCTGTCGATTTAATGTATGACTCGACGTGATCAGATATACTGATCTCTTTCGTATAGCGTTTGCTGAAATTTGTTACAATCCCATCCCAAGTCATCACATACGAATTAATTTGGCCTTGCATTTCATCTCTGACCCAAGCTTATTAATAAGTAGGTCATATTTTCTCTTTTTCTCAGTCGCGACCGCTTTCAACCTGTTTTGACTAGTGATGCCAACCCCAATCAGGATTACTTCACGTTGCTTCTAATCGTGTATCATGATATCCGGCCGATCCGCCTTTATTCTGATTGCAGTTCTCACTCGCGTGTCGACTGTGATCTCAACATTCTCATTCACGACGACCTCCTGAACAGAATGGCTTCGCAAGCGCTGGAATGCTGCCAGACCATACTTGCAGTCCTCAGTGGGTGCATCGTAGGACCTCATTGTGTCTTCCAGTCATGATGAAACATTTTTTCGCACTGCGTTGTTAGATGGTCCAGCGTCTTCACACGTTTCT